AATAGTTGCACATTTTGATAGCTTTGTTTAATAACATTTCTATAATTTTGTTGCAAAAAAGGTATTTTTATTATAACACATCCGGATTTAATTACTTGTCTACGTGTGTCTCCTTTCTTCAAGAGATGAATCGTCTCTGAAGGGCCCCGATAGGGTTTTGTTCATTGGGGTACCTCCCGTGACCACTCCTCGAGTGTCAGGCCCAGAATGCCGGCCGGGGTCTGTTGCTCAGATCCCACGCTCACCATTCCCTGCAACCCTCCACCAGCGGGCGGCGTGGTGCAGCAACAGTCACGTGCTCTGCGCGCCTAGCTGGTCATCTCTGCATCTTCTTGGTCTTCCCTGATGGTCCCGCTTCCCTGCCTTCCTCAGGGGGTGGGGTGGGGGGATTCTCTCTCACACCCTGCACACATCTGTGTGAAAAGGTGCCCTCTTTCCTCCTTAGGACCTTCCATAGGTTTCCAAATGGCTTTGGCCTATCGCTCCCTTTCCAGCAAAACACAACTCAGTGCCCCACCGACAACGAATACCCTGTGTACCATCGTTCACCGTCCAGAATAAAGTGCATGCATCTGCTTTTGTACCTCCCCCGGATCGTTCTAGCTCCCCCAAGGGTGGGATCACCCACTTTGGGAAACATTGTTCTAGCCTCTTAATTTCCCCCTGCTTCTCCAAAAGCGTTCATCTTTGACACTCATGACATCAGGCTAAACCACCTCCTTTGTGTGTACAAGGTTTGTATCTACATTGATCCCTGGGCCTCTGTCTCTCAAGCCACGAAAGAGCAACCACTCTGTAATGAATGTTCCCCTCGGTGGCTGTTGCTAGGTCTCATCCAGCCGGCTCCAACTCGTCCACCTTCTGGACAACAGAACAAGACATTGCCATCCCGTGCCATCCTCCCAACGGTTGTGTGTTTGAGCCCCCTGGTGCAGGTGTCGAGCCAGACCCTCAATATCTCTATTTCTCAGTCTTCCAGTCCCATGATCTCTCCGCCCCCTGCTCTCTTTTCTTCTCTCAATCTTGCCTTCCATTCAGTGTCAGCTACTTTTTCCTGTGGCCACTCCACAGGGCTTGTTACCATCTAACTGAAACCTCTCTACAGTCTCACTTTGTTAGATTCCATGTTGACCACCTTCTATAGTTCTAGATCTTTCACCTGAGCCTCCAACTTCAAAAACCCTACGCCACTGGAACAATTTACTGTCAATACCACGTTCCACTGCCCCTTCCCCATGTTATCTCAAGATGGTCCTTAATACCACAGAGCAATCACGATTCTATTTCTCTAGTTCAGTCCATCGTTTTACTCACCTCTAGATGACTGTTTCTAGAGCTTCTGATCCCTCCTCACACCTTTAGTTCTGTCATACCTGCCATAGTTCTCTAGTGCGGAAACAGACATTTATTCTCTCCCAGTTCAGGTGGCTAGAAGTTTTAATCCAGGGCATCAGCTCCAGGAGAAGGCTCTCTCTCTCTGCATTGGCTCTTGGGGTGGGTCCTTTTCTCCTCTCAACACCTGTGGGCTAAGCATTCCTTGGAGATTTCTACATAGCTTGGCATCAAGCTTACTCTGGGTCTAGGAGGTGCTTGGTACATGGGCTCCAGATCCAACCTTGAGACACTGTTCTCAACTTTTCCTTCTTGGTGACAGTCTGGCTCCTGGCTTTCAATGTATCTTTGTAAGATAAAACTCCCCTGACGTCAACTCGGGACTGTGACACGAATAAGGGTGTTACATCCCTAACCCCCTTACAATGGATTGATTGATCACCTCATGGGCATGACTACCCTATTACACAATTTCCAGATTACATCATCACACTAACAGCAACCCGCTGAGAAACACCGTCCAGCCAAGTTGACATGTATCTTTAACCACCACAACCCCACGGCTTCCTGTATTACTAAGAAAGTGGAGACAACACGATGAGAAGTTCCGTCAGCTCCCAGTGTACCCCCTCACCCACTTTTACCTCTATAGCCCCTCTGTCCCTTCCCTCCCGAAGGATGAGTTGGGCATGGCTTTAGTGAACGCTTCCCAACTAAGGGTGGACTGGATACCATCTATCTCATGTGCTCCTGAGGCGCCCTCCTTGAATGGCCCCCCTTCCTCTGGCACCCTTTTCACCCTTGACCGGGTCATTCTCATCACCCTGCGAACAGACATGCATGTTCATATCATTGAGAACAAAGCCTATTTGACTCCTTCTGCATTTCTTTCTTTTTACATGGAAACTTCTTCAGAGAGTACTTATACTCACCATCTCAACTCTCCTTCCAGTCAGAGCTAAGCTCAGTCCAATATGGCTTCCCAACCTTTCACACAGGTGCGTTCGCGGTCACTCCCAGCCAATCCTCATTCTGCCCTCGACTCTCTTGTTCACCAGCTGCATTTAACATAGTTCATGACTCGATTCTCCCTAGAAACAGTTTCTAGAAAACGTGCCTTCTAAGAAATGAGCTTCTCCTGATTTTCCCTCTGTTCTCCATCTAGTCCCTTTGAAATTTCTCCCCTAATTTCTCCTTCTCTCCCTGACTCCTATATATTGGAGAACCCCAGGTTTCCCAGTTTTGACTATGTTTTCTATCTACATTTCCCCCTTGGTGAGCTCATCAGTTTCCTGGCTTTCAGTACCACCTGCATGCTGATGACTAACGATCTTAGATCAGCCGTAAAAAAAAGATGTGTGGTAGGACCATCCTTCATGACCAGCACAGGGTAACGTCTTCCATGTCAGGATCAGGACTCAACTTTACTTATGAATCACACCGAATGCATTATCTTTCATATTTAGAAATTCTCAGATACTTCCCGCGTCATCACTAAGACCACACAGTTCTCCAGCAGCCAATTCCTGTCATCACCAAAACCTTATACAGAGAATGTTTACCTGTGACGACACTGGGGACCTTGGAGAGAAAGCTCTTGACGGTTCTGATGGGCACACCCCCTGTCTTGTCATCTTGCATCTTTGTAATGATATCTTCGATCTGAAAGATATCCAAGAACAAAAAGCATTATACCCTTCAATAAACTAAACAGCCAAAAGGGGTCAACATAAATGCCAGTAATACATATCAGGAGACATCTCTCCCAAACAAAACAAGACAGACGAGCCCATTGCCTTCAAATCAATTGTGAATCACAGTGGTGCTGCCTAGGGTTTCTGAGACTATAAATCTTTCTGGGAGCAGACAGCCTGGTTTGTCTCCAGTGGAATGGCTGGTGGTTTCGAACCGCTGACCTTGCTCAGCCCATTAAAGTCATAGCAGTATCTGCAGAGAATTGAGTGCTGGGTGTGAGGAGATCAGAGCGTTACATAAAAAGTGTGTGGCGAGATGTACCAGTTCTATAAAGTAAGGAGGGGCAGCGACATTAGGATTCTAGATGGGATCCAGAATGTAATTCAAGATGTACGTAAAGAAACTCCCCTTTTTTCCATATTGGGTTTATATAGAGGTTGAACCAAATAAAATTTTCGTACTCAATCTGTAAAACAGCAATTTCACACGATTTAACCTAATATATTATGATACTGGCCGTGGGGAGTTCAAGCTGGCTTGTCACTGAGACCAGAGCAGGACCCAGCTAGGGTCAGATGCCCACCGAGCCCCGACCGGAGGAACCTGGAGAATGGGTCTCAGTGGCTCTAAGGGCTGGGGTGAGGACAGGCACCCCGGGCCAGGGTGAAGGGGAGAGAGCACAGCGTCTTGTTTTAAGATTGCACCGTGAGGGGAAAGGTGACGGTGCACAGAGGGCTGACGCTCGGGCTTGGGGCGTCTCTGTACTCTGTCTCTGCCATGCAGTCAGTGCCGACTCATAGCGACCCTCTAGGACAGGGTGGAACTGCCTCTGTGGGGTTCTGAGTGCGTCACTCTTTATGGGAGGTGAAAGCCCCACCTTTCTGCTGAGGAGCAGCTGCATTATTTGCACAAATTGAAAATAAAACAGCAAGAGAAGTAATGGACTAAGGAAGATACAGGGGCTTAGATTGGGAAACCAATTTGTGAGTATTTGTGAATCAGGTAAAATTTCTTGGGCAGGTATTTTCAGAGGAGGACACAGACGCCTCCTAAGAAGGGCACGGGCCAGTGGGGGGACTGGAGTTGGCGAAGAGGAGAAGGGGGAAGAGTTTAGTATTTTCACACCTTGTGTTTCCCTAAGCAAGAGAAATAGCTTTGAACACCAGGATGGATTCCTTGATAGAATCAGATGGTTTTAAAGCTGGGAATTCAAAGCTGTAGCTCTAACAGATTAGCATCCTCGCCTGAGGTGAAGTGATTTTCTCAAAGACATGTGTGACTCACAATGTTATATAATAAATAACACGTTCGAGGCGAATCTAGAAGACCTGCCTTGCTGAAAGCCACGAGGACTTGACGCATGTACTGGTGAAGATAAAAGACTGCAGCCTTCAGTAATGACTCCACCTCAACATAAAGAAAGCAGAAATATTCTCAAGAGGAGCATTAAACAGCAGCAGGTTAAATGGAGAAAAGATGGACGATGTCAAGGATTTCATTGCTGCTTGGAGTCATAACCGAGGCCCGTGGAAGAAGCAGTCAAGAAACACACAGCCTGGGTCCAGAATGGGAAAATCTGAAACAAACCAACTGTGTCAGTCCGGGTCGACTAGAGAAGCAAATCCATGGACACACATATGTGTCTAAGAAAGAGGTTTATATACAAGAGCAAGTGAACATTGAGAAAGCATCCCAACCCAGTCCAGTCCAGTCCAAGGCCATAAGGCCGATATTAGTCCATATGTCCAATACCAATCTATAAAGTCCTCTTCAGACTCACGCAACACACACAATGATGCCGAATGTAGAAGATCACAAGCCAGTGAGTAGAAAGTCTTTGGATCCAGTGGCATTGGAAACATCTCAGCGCTGGCAGGGGTCTCTGCATCAGGGTGGGTCCATGTGTCTTATAGGCTGCTCTTTCTCCCAGGGTGTGAGCAGAGAGTCTCCCACCTCCAAGGAGGAAATTACAGATTTCCCAGAATTCTCAGGAGAAGGCCATGCCCACACAAAGGCCTTATTGGCTATGATTTGATTGACAAGCTAGACTCCACCCCTACACTCTTCATCCTCAAATTGACAAACGATTATATATCTACCACACAAACAAATAAACAAAAACCCTTCACAGCAAAGGTATTGCTCTGAGGACTCAGGTAATCCCAGTGCAGGTCAAAGCATTCTCACTCGCCTCCTATGCATATGAAATCTGGGCGAGGAGTCTGAGAGGCTGCAGGAGTGATGCCTTTGAATTACGGTGTTTGTTGGAGAAGAGAACTATAATTACCCTGGGCAGTCAAAGAGGGCTCCTAACAACAAAAGGACGCTGGGGAACGTGGCTGGGGCCAGAGAGACCAGAGAGAATTCTGAAACACCTGGCTCATTAGGTCTTATCCGTGATAGCTGGGAAGCTGCACATCCTTCTGGTACACTCATAACTCTCACGCTAGACTTCACTCACGGGCATGACTCCACCACAAAGAGAGAAGGAGCTCTGGTTTCTCTGTGGCAGGAGGAGAGAAAACCAACAGCCGTGAGTAGCATCAATGATGACCTTGGGACGGCAAGCAACCCGCTCAAGGTCACAGTCACTTAGTTGTGTGTCGAGGTTGCACTCAGACCTCGGGCTTCTAACTCTGAGCTCTTCTGCCTCCAAGGCAGGTTCTCAGAAAACCAGCCAAGCAGAGAATAGTTGGATATGTCTGGGTTGTACTGAGGGTGAGAACGCATCTTAAGCTCCAATCCCTCAGGCAGCAGAGGAGTGTCTCAGGCTAGTGAAGGCCTCTGAGGACTGCATCCTGTTAGATGACAATGTAAGAATGATTTCAATTCACACTCATGTTTCCAGTCTCAGCTACTGCTCTGCCTTGGGCCTTAGAAACTCAATCTAGAGAAGCCGGAGCCGTCCTTGTTCATAGCCAAGTGGAGCTATTCCTAGGAAAATGTCATTTACGAAGTACCATATACACGTTGGTATTTTTAATCACCTCATATGCATGTGAACATTGGACATTGAATAAGGAAGACTGAAGAATCATTGCATTGGGATTATGGCGCTGGAAAAGAACAAGGAACGTTCCAGGGAACGCCAAAAGAACAAATAATCCTGTCTCAGCAGTAGAGTCCGAACGCTCCTCAGAAGCAGGGGTGGGGGCTTTGTCTCACATATTCCGGACGTGTTATCAGGAGACTCCAGTCCCTGGAGAAGGACATCATGCTTGGTAAGTAGAAGGACAGAGAAAAAGAGGATGACCCTAGACAAGATGGGTTGACACATTGGCTGCAACAATGGGCTCAGGCATGGAAATAGCTGTGAGGATGGTGCAGGACTGGGCAGTGTTTCATACTGTTGCTAACGGTTGGTATGACTTGACAGCCCCTAACAAAAACATATGCTTTTGAACTGTGTGTTATTGGTGCTTTCTACTCCCATAAAGAGTTATAGTTTTAGAAACTGATGGGCAGTTCTACCGTGTCCTATAGGGTCACTATTAGTCTCAATGGCAGTGACTTTGGTTTGGGTTTGGTTAACTGAAACCAGAGTACAGTTCCCTGGAAGCTGTCTATGGAAGGATGTGGTAGTTACATAATCTGTTGTCAATGTGAGAGTATTAGAGTGAAGGGGTGGAGCGAACCTGACAACCAGGTTGTAGCTTGGTGCCTTCATTTGGAGGCACTAAGGAAATAAATAGCTCACTGGATGGGTGGGACGCATTCTTACTCCCTTGGAGACTCTCTACTGACAAGGCTGACTCCCTGTGAGGCATTTCCATTGACAAAACATATGGAGCGAAGTTAGAGCTCTGGAGCTGGAGAAGCCACATGGAGACCCCAGTCAGTGCTGAGATGCTTACATTGCCATTGGATCCACAAGACCTTCTACCCACTGCTCTGTGATCTTCCTGCATTCGGCATCATTACATGTGTTTCATCAGTCTGAAGAGGACTTTATATATTGATATAAGACATATGGCTAATTATGGACTTGATCTGGACTGGCCTGGGATGTTTTCTCAATATTGAATTGCTCTTGTATATAAACCTCTTTCTTATACACTTATGAGTGTCTCTATGAATTTGTTTAGCTAGTCTATCCAGACTCCCACAAATGACTATAGACAATTACTGAATGTTTGAGGGAAGCAATCAGTTGAACAACTGTTTAGGTATTGTAGTGATAATTGTCTCTGCTGACACGGACAACATGTGAAGGACTGATTGTGCAGGAGAAATCTTCGTGATTCTTTGCTAAGGAGGTAGACCTGTCATCTTCTATTGGCTCACAATGTACATCAAGAAATATCACTGATCAGGGTTGGAGCTAAGTGACCAAGGGCAATCTTCTTAAACAAAGGGATGGCACACCAGCAACAATGCACAGCCTCCCCAGTATGGTAGAATGCACTCTTGGTCACCATTGTGTTAGTATGTTGTGTTAGTATGCATATACTGTTGTGTTAGTTGTGTTAGTATGCATATAGACCCACGTTGTGTTAGTATGCATATAGACCCACGTTGTGTTAGTATGCATATACTGTTGTGTTAGTATGCATATAGACCTGTTGTGTTAGTTGTTGTGTTAGTATGCATATAGACCCACGCCATGGCTTCATGGTGAGCCGAGAGCCCGCCGCTTGACTCCTCTGTGTGACACTGGTTTGCCTAGCTCATGGAATGTTACTGGATATGCTGCACACAGAGATCCTCAATGTCTGAGGATGACTCACAAAGTTCGCTGAGAATGAAAGGAAAGGATCATGGAAATGTTCTACAAATTTCCTGAAGCTCCCCTGGGTCGGCAAGAGCATGCTTTGAGTAGTTCGTTACTTCCCTAAAGCTCACAAGAGACAACCGGGGCAGCTGGGGCCCAAGGGCAGCGTGTAACTTAAACCCGCCTGTTGTAGCCACAGATGAGTAACACAACAGGGCTGCCATAAGACATCAAGGTGTTATCAAGACGCATGAAT